AGGATGGGTGTTATGTGGGCGAACCGCGGTGCGCCCACTATCACTCGCGCGGCCACATTCTGAACTAACTGCAATCGCCGGATGCACCTCTAAATGCCATCTATAAAACTTGTTGTAGAAATTCTCTCTCAGAGAATCACTGCAATTGTTTAGTTAGTAACATGGTTGTTAAATGAATCTGGCTTCCCCATGGACTTTGCTTGCCAGAAGGTTGCAAAACATGACCCAGGACACTGCAACGGTCATAAATACGATACAGCCAGATTTTTGATCATGTGACCAGGGGAATGCCTGCAACTGTTGTAAGTGTAAAAAATGGTCATAAGCCACTTTTTTTTCAGTGACTTTGTAACTTTGAATTGTCACTAAACAAGTGACTGTAAGCCAAGGCCTACTCCTTGCTATATTTTTGTCTCATACTTTCATGTTGGAATATATTCTGTTTTTGTAGCTTTTTGCTTTTTTTTTAAGATTATTACATTGTTTTGTAATTCTAGCACCTCAAAGCCGTTGGGAAAAATATAAATGCATAATAAGAACTATTGAATTAAAAAGGTTATCAAAATATAGATAGCAACAAGGAAGGGGGGGGATTGGAGAAGAAAAACAAAAGCAGGAATAAAAACACAAATCCAGCATTTACGCAGAAAACACCTAGCTGGCCAAATCGATCGCTCGCAGAAACCTCGTGACGTAACGTACCCTGGGTCAGAGGGAAATAATTTCAGAATATTGCCACCTCTGCAGATGCATTTCACCACGGTGAAAGATAATTATTTAAAGAATTTATATTGCTGCCCAAGCCTGAACAATGCAAATTGTGGCACCTTATAAAAAAGAGGCAATCTAAGACAAAACAATGATGAATAATAATCAGTAGGTAAAATTTCTACATAAGGCCCCATGTGAGGGGCTCTCCCCTGCTAAGCCCATCAAACATCCGGATTTTTTTAAACAAAAAAGGCCAGCCATTACAGTAGTCCCTGACATACAACCATAATTAAGCCTGGCAATTATGATCATGAATTGTGATGGACGTAAAGTGGATCACCAAGGGACCAGATCCATTTTTTCGACCTTTGTTCCAGCTGTTGCTAAGCAAATGTTTTTTTTATTGAAAATTTTTAGAAAAAAAAACCTTTTGCAAATGTTTACCTCCTCCCCCTCCCCTCC